CCACTAACACAACAGATCTTTTTTCAAGCAAACTGTGCCTAGACATTCCTTTTCCACATACAATGGCTAAAATGCATTTCCCTCATCTCTCCTGCCCCTTGGTGTTGCTTTAATGAGGTCATTTTCTGAGGTTTATACTCTCCTAGGATGTAGAACAATGCTTTGATCATTCCTTTGTGCTTAATAAATATTTATTCAAAGAATCAGTTTTTCATTTCTACATATAATTTGAGTATCACCGAACTCTGGGAAAAACTTAAACTGCTGAAGATTTGTAACAGCCCTTGATGCTATCATAACAGATTCAACAAATGCAGAAGATCTTTATTTAACCTCTGCCTTTATGTGAACAATACAAACAAAAATTTCAGAGTGAACTAACTACATAATGAACGTGGAAAATGTGAAAAAAAATCTAGGCAATTTGCTTCCCATATATTATTTTGCTTGAATTACCTGAATAATTATCTCAGCCCTCCTCATTTTCTCTTCCTTTCACATGAATGTAGAAAAAATTCACTTCCCCCCCTTCTACCTATTATTATAATTGTGGCCAAAGTGAGCTATGTTCAAAAAGTCTTCTAAGAATTTACAAAATTCTTTAACACCTCTAAAACAAATTTAATGCTTAGCTTGTATTAGAGGATTTAAGATGTTGCATTTTAGAGGGACTCTATGGGCACCTGGGCAGCACCATGGATAGAGCGCCAGGCCTGGAGTTAGGAAGACTCAGTTTCCCCAGTTCAAATCTGGCCTCAGCCACAAACTATCTTTGTGACCCTGGGTGAGTGACTTAACCTTTGTGTCTCAGTTCTTCATGAACTGGAGAAGGAAATGAAGAACCACTCCAGTATATTTGCCATGAAAACCCCAAAAGGGGTCATGAAGAGTGGGACAAAACTGAACAACAACAACACGAGCATAATAAAATTATTTCAGAGCAGACATAGAGAAATAGAAAAAGAGGAAAATTAGGTTTAGCTCTTATTTTACCTGTATAAAATTTACAATAAATGTAGTTCTTTATGCAAAATTAACAGCCTCTTGAACCGCCTTCCTTCATAATGTTATAAATAGAAATATATTTATGTGAGGCTCAGAAGAATGCTTGATTTACTTTTTTAAAAGATGAAAAAGGCAGTTTTTTTAAAAAGACAAGTGAATACTTTCATATTTTACTATCAGTGAACCAGAAAATGAGATGGTGAATATTTACTATTCATTTTGCACATGATTTATATGGAATGAAAATTGTGAATACTAGAATGTCTAATAAGTAAGCGTTCATTTTGAAAGCCTATAAATTACTGACCTGACATTTATCTTTGATTTCATACTTTTAACTAGAGACTTGGACATACTGTTAAAAAAAGAAAGGTACTCTTTTAGAAAAATGTTATAGCTGAGATTCAAATAAACTACCATTACATGACTAGATGATTTTATAATTTTAACTGTCACCTGTCATGTGAAGATGGGAGGCAGTACCAATAATTCACTACACTTCTGCAATTTATATATAACTTTAAATTATTGTGTTAAAAATGGACAGAGTAGACATCTGAAGTAAGTGGAAGATTAGAAGGTATAAAATAACCGTTCCATTGATGTTGAGTGATGGGGGAAGGAGACTGGGATGTAAATTTTCCAAAATGCTTATCTACACAGCTCATAGCCATCAGAAAATTAAATCCACTTTCCATTTCCACTTGACCTGCATATTATTCAAAAAGAATATATGAATGAAGTATGGGAGCCTTCTCATCCTGATTTGTTAATTGCCCCAGGAACCTCCATTACAAGGAAGGGCCCAGACAAGCACTTTTTCCTGCTCCCTTTCCCACTAGGCACCACTCTGGGCCCTCTGAACTGCTTTCTACATTGTGATTCACTGAGGTAACCTTCTTCCCCACCACCATCTTTTCACCTTCTTTTAATGTATGGTCTTCCCCCACTAGAAGGTAATTTCCCTGAAGGCAAGGCCAGTCTATCTTTTTGCTTGCATTGAAATTCCTAGCACGTAGTCTAGTATTTGGCTCAGAGTAAGCACTTAATAAAGTTATGTATAGGCCTTAAGCCACGAGAGAGACAATTCAAATTGAATGCAAAGTCAGAAGCTATTAAATAATCACATGCTAAGTGAGCTGTTGAGCACCATGACACTGCCCAACTCCTGAAAAGGAATCCTAACCAACAGTTGTTGAGGGTAGTTTCATGGTTTCTCCAAGGAAGTCTGGGCTCCTTAGGACAGCGGTATAACAGAATGAGCACTGTATCTGAAATCAGGGGACTTTTATTCAAACATTGCCTGAGTTACATACTATCTGTGTAAATTTGATAAAGCACCTAACCTCTCCGTAAAAGGAGGGGGACTGGCACTAGACAACTTCTGAGAGATCCCCTCTGATTTTAAATTGACGGTTCGATGACGAATATGTTTATTCATATTTGAGGATACTTTCAAGAGAGAATGATTATTGAAGCAATGGCATTGCTTTCAGGATGAATTTGGGACAAATAGTTCCAACTTAGAAACCTCAGGACAAATATCTTCATGGGGAGGAAACTTTTAATTTGATATAAATTCCATGAAACAGAAAATGAAGGCCCCCTGTAGATCCAAAGGGCTATTATAAATACCTAAATTAACTACAAAGAACATATGAAGAAAGGTGCTATCTACATCCAGTGAAAGAACTGATAAATAGATGCATAGAATTATTTTACACATACACACCCCTATTTGTCTATTTGTCTGTCTCCACACACACACACCCACACCCACACACCCACACACAAATATATGTAGACACAAATAGGGAGAGCGTGTAAATGTATAAACACATACACATGCATATAGACACACACATACACCTATTTGTGTCTAATAGTAACCATCTCTCAGGCGAGGTGAGGGAAGAAAAAAAAGAAAAAAATAAATTTACATGATAATTATGTTATATATTTGGAAAGAATAGTGAGTTGTATATAGTAGATTTGCAGTTTCGTGTACAATCATCTTTTTTATTGTATTATGTTATGGAAATGCTTTTTTTATTCCATAAGTTAAAACATAAAATAAAAAATATTGCTCTTAAGGTATAATAATAATAGTGATAATAATAAATATTATTTTATAGCACTTAGCACAGTTCCTGGAAAATAACAGACATTATTTAAATACTTATTCCTCTCCTTTCCCTTCAAGATTAACAACAACAACAACAACAACAGAGAACTAACTGTTAGAACAGAATGTGGCTAATTAAATCTCTGGAGCAAAGTAGAGTAGGGTGGAGAGCACTGTATTACACATATATTATTTCCCCCATTTTACAGATTAAGGAATGAATGCTCTGTAAAATTTAAATGTCTTTTCTGAGGTCACATTCTGACTCAGTGACAGTAGTGCTCTTTCTACAAAACTCTGTTGCCTCTCATTTATTTAGCTTGTAATAGGGGAATCCTTTCCTTTTTTGTTTCTTCCTTATTTGGTTCACAAGCAAAAGATCATGAATAAGTGACTTACAATTTTTTGAAACCCTTTAAAAATGATGTGGGGATAAAACAAATGCTGTAAGCAAATCATGTTAACTTAAGGCTTTTAAAGAAAGTAAGGTGTCTTATCTGCTTGGTTTTTTGAGGGAGGTGGCATATGTGTTCATATGTGTGTGCATGTATGTATATGTATATATGTGTGCATGTATGCATATATATATGTAAAAATTCATGTGACAATAAGATCTGTTACAAATAACATTTTCTCTTCTTGTAGCCCTAACTGATTACAACTCAATATCAGGGTCCCAGAACCACAAAATCCCAGAATACAGGAGTTGGAAGAGACTTGAGCAGCCAACTATTTCAACCCATACCTGGAATAAATCTCTACTAATACATTTCTAAGTGATCATTCTTGCGATTATATCTTATTCCTTCCAGTCTTTGGAAGATTGCCTAGGAGAGGAAACCTACCACCTATCAAAGTACCCCATTACACTTTTACACAGCTGTAATTGTTAGAGTCTTTCTGATCTTAAGCCCAAATTTCTCTCCTTATAATTTTTACCCATTTCTCCAAAGTCCTATAGATTTTCTAATTAAGATGTACTGAAAATGAACAATACCAGTCTTTGTCAAGATGTCAAACTCACCCTCTGAAAAGGGAAAATTGATTCAATATAATGGCTATTTAGGGTATAGCTGATATGTAGCATTTGTTTCTGTAACCAAAAATAGTAGTACTCTCGTTAGTATCCTACAATTCATGTACTCACTTCTGTTTCTTTCTTTTTCCTTCCAATTTTCTCTTGTTTTTATATGCCTACTCTTCCTCCTTTTCCTCTCTATTTTTTCCCTCTCTGGCCCACCAGTAGCAATCCATGGGCATTTCGCTTAGTTCTCCTAGTGATACTCAGGAATAAAGAGGATGCTGTCTTCTTGGTCAATCCATGGGAAATGATAATTGCCTTGGCATAGTCCTTCCAAGCTTTATACTGACCTCCAAGTTTGGGAAAGTATATAATTAGGAAAGCTAACTCCAATTTTCTAGGTTTATTTTCTAGTGAATATCACAACTGAGTTGTTGGCCAGCATGTGTGGATTCAAAGTGGAAGGGTGGGGGAAGTTTTTAAAAGATCAACATATTTACACAGGGAATGAACACAAAAAGTATAATGTCACTAGCTTTCTTAGACTATTTTACTTAATGGTTCCATTCCAATTTCCATCAATCAGGTAGATTTACTATTTCATCCAGGAATGGAATTAAAACTTGGAAGGAAAAGAGGAAAAACCTGAACTGAAAATTATTAAAGCTGTCATTTTTTTCTACTACAAAGCTTTTCCTGTAGCTTAATCCTCTTCGGGATTAATTTAAGTCCCTGTCTTTATAATAGAAAACACGGTCTTTTCCCAACAAATACTATACTTTTTCTATTTAAATTACTGTACTAAAATTTGGGAGCATATTCAAAGCAAATGGGCAGATGTTTACTTACCCCCAGTTGCCACAGTGATTTCACGTAGAAAATGGCCATAAAATGGAAAATCGAAGGACAGATTCACCCTCTGCAAGGAACAACACCAGAAAAGAAAAAATCAATAATCTACAGAATAGCAAATATAAAATGAAAAGCTTTTAAAATGTGATGTTCCAAAAGAGTTGAGAAAATGGACCTCTATATTCTGTGTGGAGGTAGGAGGATAAGGATGCAGGATATTTGTTGTTGGACATGAATGATGTGACAGTTGGTTCTATTGAACTTTCCTCCCCTTTTTCTTTCTCTTTTTTTGGGGGGGCAATTGGGGTTAAGTGACTTGCCCAAGGTCACACAGTTAGTTAGTGACAAGTGTTTGGTCTGAGGCCAGATTTGAACTCAGGTCTTCCTGACTTCAGGGTCGGTGTGCTATCCACTGCGCCACCTACCTGTCCCCCCCTTTTTCTTTTTCATTCTTTGTTATAGGGGATGATCAGAGGATAGAGGAGAGGAGAGGAAGAGATTTGGAAATGAAGGTAATATAATTTTATAAAAGGTATATCAATAAAAATGTGCTCTGGTTTTCTTCCTTTAAATAATATCTCCTTCCTTGGTATTTGAAAAGTGAAATAGTCCTTGCTGAAGAAAAAAAATGGACTTAGAAGTGGCTTATGATTCTTGCAGATAGGCACAGCAATCATCAAGTTTTAAGTCATGATTGTTAGCAGTATCCCCATTGTTTTGCAGACATCTGCTTATATATGCATAGCCAGGTCCGTTAGTTACTTGGTCAGGGATAATGAGGGAGAAAAGTAAGTATGAGTGAACTTAATGTTTGATAAAATTTGTTTGAGTCATTTGGTGATTTTTATTTTTTTTTCCAGATTCCACTATCAACACAGTTAAACTGGGCTGTATAGATATTTACTTAAAGGAACATGAGGGCTTGGAGTATCCTATATTCTTTCTCTGTACTTTGTGATGAAAAGCAGGCTTTTGTCAATCCATCTCAAAGGATAGGGAAAGTGGAAACAGACCATTTGCAGACCTGTGTGTGAATAGTGCAGATCTTTTTTTTTCTCTAACTATATGACTACCCCACTTTTTGCTATCTTTGTAATACAAATGTGTTTCCAGTGTGGCAGAGTGACTGTGATAGAAGACTATCATTTCTAAGAATTTAAACTGAGAATCACCTAAAGGTCAACAGAGAAGCGTATGACAAGTATGAACAGGCTACAATGCGCTACAAACAATTAGCAAGGAGAAATTATGTCAAGGATATTAAAATATACATGAACAAAAGAAGAGGATGAATTAGTCACAAGGCAGAGATGAAGGTTAAGTGATGGGCAGCCTATGGTAAGCATGTATCCTCTTAATGTCATGGGGAAATATCTCTAGCATGTCATGTATTCCCTTTCCTCAACTCTGACCAGGAAGACTTTGTGGGAGGACTTTGATGAGAGTCACAAAGACTGCTATAATATCAGTTTGAATTACTGAAAGAGTTACCCATCTCCATGAGCTCATGATCCATTTGAGTTGAGTATGGCAATCCTGGTGACACCCCTGAAGAAGAGGTTTTTATCACGTCCATTTTAAAGAATGGACATCACTCTCTGACAGAGTGATGCAGTTAATAACAATTCAAGTCACCAAACATTCACCAAAATAGCCACCATTTGCAAGACATAGTCCTTACAAAGTGATGCTGCCCAAGTAAGTGAAAATGTGGAAGTCTGAAATCTCACCTTCTTCTGTATCTTGAAAGAATTACTAAAAGAAAGATCTTCTTCCCCAAAGGAAAGACTGAGCCCTATGGATATCTATATTTACATTATCTAGTTTGTAAAATCTAGTTAAATTAGTTGAATTTTAAAAGAAGTGGCCTAGATAAAATCCAGGGTATCTCTTGCTATTAATGGAGAAAGAAAGTGAGCTGTAACAAGGGTCTCATGTTGAATAACATGTGACTTTTTAAGGGGAAGGCTTCATAGGATGTATGTGGCTATTCAGGTTTATAAATAAATAGTGATTGAAACATGCCCACCAAAAACAATGGCTATTATGAGAAAACCAAATGGTTACTAAAGCATTCTTTCTCTCTCTCTCTCTCTCTCTCTCTCTCTCCCCCTCTCGTGTGTGTGTATGTGTGTGTGTGTGTAATAATAAAAAAATTAAAAGGACAGGCTTTTAGATTGAATCTAGCCTTTTTAGTATTCAACCAATGATTGGTTTCTATAGCCATTCAAGTTTTTTTAATGACTTCTTTGGCATGAAATTGATCATTCATGAATTACAGCAACTTTCAATTAGGTTTTCTTTCCTGTTTAATGAAAGCTCCACTTTGTACAATGATTTATCATCCTTTTTTTGAGCTTTCTAATGAAACAAAAAACCATTTTCCACTGTGTTCACTAAAAAGAAAGGATGTTAAAAAAAACTTAGTAAAAAATGAGTTGTGCATCTGAGTCAGTTAGGTGAAATAGAAAGAATGTTGTCCTCAGAATCGGGATGACCTGAAGTCATCAAGACATATAGTAGTTATATAACTCTGGGCCACTCATTTAATGTGCATTAGCCTCAGTTCCATCATTTGTAAAATGGAGATAATAATTGTACATAACTTCTATAGTTGCTATGAGAATCATATGATTTAACTTATGTAGACTGTGTTGCAAACCTTAAAACAATGTACAGATGCTGGCTATTGTTATTAGGGCAAAATGTGCATATAGGAGAAAATGAGTTAAATAATTTTATAAAAGCACTAGATAAAGACTTTAGATACTGAGTTCTTAAAAGCTGTGCAAAATAATTCCACACACTAGCATCTTTACCAAGCTGGAAAGAAATAAATGCCCAGCAAAAAAATGTGTTAATTATTCAAAGACCCACTGCTCCCTCATCAAGAAGATCCTTTCAAACAGTTGGCCGTGAGATATTTGTGTGTCTTTTGTCTTTCTACCAAGGTAACACATAAAATTGAACAAACATAAAATAGCCCTTACTAATCTGTGCCTAACTTTTTTTAGTCCATTTTAGTCAATCTATTTAAAATATTTACTTGGTATTCTTCAGATGTCACCTTTTTCCAAACACCAACAATGGAATTACAATGAAATGGATCAAGTCACTGGATGTGCAATACAGTTCTGAATTTGTTCTCTAGGAAGTAAGACAAAAAAGAAATGGGGCAGCCATGGTCAAAGAAGGAGCTACAAAAGATAAAGAGCCCAAGTCTCACAACAGTAGCCCCAATGTTATAATAATATCTGGAAGACCAACTACCATATTGGAGAAATACTCCTACGTGGGAATTTATGGAAAGCCAAATGCAATAATCATTCAAGGATGAAAACCTGGGGGAAGGAAACTTTAATGTTGCTCCTATGGAAATCATAGCTCCATCAGAGTATAAGAAATTTGTTCCTGAATGCAAAGTTTATAACAGTACAATTCTATGTATGATAAACATTGACATGTAAGATTACAAGGATGTCTTCATTAGAATCATACAAGTGTCAGAACTGGAAGAGTACTTGTATACCATATTTTTTTTTTAATAATTTTACAGATGAGACATCAGAATGGTTAAAGGGTTGCCAAAGTTCATCAGTTTCTGAGATCTAGTCCTCCAATATTCATAAATTTAGATTAATAAGTTGCCATGTTTGCTATATATTGATTGCTAATTTTCAAATAAAACTTTTGATGCCAAAGTTAAATGGAATATAATTGTATCTTTAAGATGCCGCTTTACCAACACTTTCTATATAAATTCTGATTATCCTAATCACATGTGCCCTCCTCAAATTACCTTCCAGTTAATCATTGTGTGGTTCTGTTTATTTATTCTCTTTCTGTTTTTTTTATATACTGGTATACATACATACACATATACATACATATTTATTTCTATTTTAGTTATTGTACTTTGGATACATTACAGCCAGCATGCATAGGAGAAAGTGGGCTGCCCATTACAATGATTTACCAGGATTCTGGGGTGGGGGGGACTCTTAGTCAATAAGTTTAATGGTATCTCTTAAAGGTCACCTTACAGTGTTTCTGATAATAGTGACTGTATAATCATGAAATTTTATTGCAAAATAATTTTAGTGGGACATATGACATATATGTATGCATGTATATATATGTGTATGTATATGCATATTTATATATATGTATATACTTGTCATCTGTCCCATTAAAATTTTTGCAAGTAGTGACTTTCATTCAATGAATTTTAATGCTACATAGTAGGTGCTTAACTGATCTTAAATGATGATTCAGTGGTACTTCAGTGTCTTGTACATCAGCATCACCAGTAATATCTAGAATTTTTTCTAATAGCTAGCATGTGTATAGTGTTTGAAAGTGTGCATACTCCTTTATATCTGCCATCTCATTTAATCCATTGTGAGCATTAGTCATAATGTAAGTGTTAGAGGAGTCAGTTGTTATTGTTCTGTTTCATAGGCTGCTTAGTGAACTATTTGGGATGGGGAGGGGTTTCCTAGTTCTTTTTTCTGTTTTAGTAGTTGTACTTTAGATATATTATGGCCAGCATGTATTGAAGAAATCAGTGATTTCCCCAAGATTCTGGGTGGGGGCTCTTAGTCAATAAATGGAGTGGTAACTCCTAAAGGTGACCTTATGATATCTCTGACATAGGGACTGTATGTATCACCATAAAATTTTATAGAAAAACAACCTCCAAAATGCAAATTTGCTATACACTGGTCCACCACACTATTACCACTGACACTTGAGTAAATTTCATGAACAAACCAATAGCAATCTGTCTTCTACCTTACACATCAGATAATTACATTTAAAAAAAACACTTTCTTCTCCTCAAGATGAAACTCACTTAAACAAAAAATAACTATGTGACAAAAGGCACTTTTCTAAGAGGAATCATACAATAATTTATTGAAATTGAGAAAATATGTAGATATATAAATAAAGGGAAACTAGTGGATGCGATTTTTTGAGTTTTTCAGAAATCTTTTGGTAAGTTTGTATACCAAAGGCTTTTAAAAGAAAAAAAATGAATCATCTCAGGATTCAGGTTTATTAGTA